AGTAGTCTTAGTAGTTCTAGTAGGAATAGTAGCAGTAGTAGGAGCAGTAGTAGTTGTAGTAGTGGTAGTAGTAGTGCGTAGTACTAGCAGCATGGCAATTATTCAAGGCGTTCCCAGACGCCGCCAGCGCGAATCGTGACGTTACCGGGGGGGATGGGGCGCTGCCAGTAACCATCAGCATCAGCATCAACATCAGCATGCTGATGCTGATGGTGATGCTTATGATGGTGATGAGGGTGATGATGGTCGTGATGATGAGGTTTATGCTGATTTTGATGTTGATGACTATGCTGATAATGCTGATGACGGTGGTGACGATGACGATGATGTTCATGACGATGGCGGTGATGATGACGATGGCGATGTTTATTATACTTGTGATGATGCTGATGCTGGCGCTGCTGCTTTCGATGTTGAAGATGATGACGGTCGTGGTTATGGTAATATGATGCTGCTGCAGATGAAGAGGGTGAAGATGCTGAAGATGGTGGTGATGATGCCGAAGAAGAAGGAAGCTCTGACATTGCTGATGATGCTGATGTTTATGATGCTGTTTATGCTGATATTGCTGATTCTGATGATGACGCTGGTGCTGGTGATAATGCTGCTGATGATGATGGCGATGGTTACAAACGTGGTGACAATGCTGATGCGGATAGTGCTGCTGCCATTGATGCTGATGATGAAGGCGATGGTAATGGTTATGTTTGTGGTGAAGATGATGCGGAGGATGCTGCTAAAAATGATGATGCTGAAAACGGTGATGCTGATGCTGGTGCTGATGTTGTTGCTGATGCTGCTGCTGATGCTGCTGCTGCTGCTGATGATGGTGATGTTGGTGCTGATGATGATGAGGTTGAGGAGGAGGGGGGAGGCGGTGGAGGAGGGGGGATGGGGATGCGGATGAGGAGATATGTGGGATGGTTGGGGAGGAGCAGGAGGAACATGAGGGGGAGGATGATGATAAGGAGGAGGAGGAAGGAGTTGGAGGCGGATGGGTCGGAAGAGGAGACGGCTTACGATGACGATCAGGAGGAAGAGGACTATGAGGAGTGGCGTGGAGGACGACGGCCGGGGGAGGATGAGGAGGAGCTGCAGGCCGGTCCCGAGAAGATGGAGGAGGTGGATATGTGTGTAAACCGAAACGCATCAACGTTGTTACAATATTCATATTCGCTGCGAGACGTGCCCCAATGAACAATAATTGCCCGACAACTGTCAGTCGTGCCAGAACGTCGTTCCAGGGACTTCGACACCGCGACTGGAGTTGACTCTTGCGCTCAGATAGTGTTCGTTCGTGCTCGAACAGCATTCCGAGGATTTCAGCCCACGAATCTTCAACTTCGTGTAAGTTTTTAAGACGCTACAGCTTGAAAAGCGCGCGGCGCTAAGGCAGTTTGACAAAAGGAACCGCCTTCCATCCCAGAAGCTAGTGCAAACATTTGACGGGGAGGAGCTATGTATAAAGAAAGCGATGGAGGAGGAAACATCCAAAGGAGAGGATGCGGAGGAGGCGGAGGAACCGGGTGTGCAGGAGGACGGGGATCAAAAGGCTTATGAGAAGGAGGGTGAAGAGGAGGAGCACGACGATGAATTACTCTGCTTCCTGTCTCTTCCCTCTTTCCCCCCTTCCCTCCTTCCCTCCTCCGTCCCGCCTTGCCTTTCCCCGTCTTATCACTGGTGAAAGCCCTGAGGTGCTCTTCCATCCTCCCCATCATTCCTTTCCTTCCCTCCCCTCCCCCCTCTGCTCCTTCTCCCTGAACTCCTGTACGAACAACGCCAGAACAGAATGTTCAACACACTCACTGGCAGCTCCAGAATGTCAGCGACACGTTCAAACAACCGAAAGAACACGCGAAAGGAATGAAAGGGGACATGAGGGATCTTTGCAACAGTGTTTTTGACATCGAAGGCGAAGTTGAAACGATCCGAGGGAACATGGACGATCTTAACGTAACGCAAAAGACTGTACAGGAAATGGTTGGCACGATGATCGAAGCTACGATCCAACGCGCCCTGCCGAGCCAACGGTCCGACGCAGCATGGGGAAACAGGAGGCATGGCCAAACAAGGGAAGGACACACGGAGGAAAAGGAAAAGGAGCGCCGCGCCGGGCAGGTCATTCCCTTCGGATCCGAAGGACATACGACAGCAGCGGCAGCGGTACAACACCGCCAACAACATCTTCAACGACTTTTCGAGATGGTATCCGCGCTACGGTGACAACCGGTACGGCTCCGACCAGATTGGGTATGGTCAAATTCCCAACTGTTGCAGCAGACGTTGGCTTCTGGAAGAAGGCCAGGGCTGCATTATCAATCGACGAAACCGCGTTCGGACAGATACTTGTTCGGAACAGTGTGACAAGTAATGAACGTGAACGGGAAAAGCGGCTGGGGTACACAAGGCACTTGCTCTGCAAACGACATCAGCACTCACATCAGGATATCCGTATCGTTCGGCCCCGGAGTCCGACTGTGCTGAAGGACGATGCTGGGAC